ACACACACTTACACACCACACACACACTTACACAACACACACACCACTTACACACCGCACACCACACACACACTTACACACCACACACACACTCAAGAAGGGACTGTCAATTCCAAGTTTAGCCTTCTTGATCAGTGCATTATCAGGACTTCTCAGTGCTTTTCAAAGCCATGTTATTTGCTCTAAGAGAGAAAAGGAAACGTTGATTTTACATTGTTCATAACATTCAGCTATTCAGTTTTTGTTTTCTCTCCCTTGACTCACACGATTTATCTAGATGTCATTTTGTCTTTTGAATTGCAAAAGACAAAGTTATGATTGGCAATCATATCATACTGTCATCCGTTTTTCTTTTTTGCAGAAACAAATTTGTCATGATCGGCACACAATTTATCATGCAATATTTGTCTCCATGTTTTCCCCAAGCATTTGAGACCAGAATACAGCACTGCAAGGACTTCACTGGGTGGAAAAACCTAGTCTTTCAATTTTACACCATGCAGGCTTATGTTTTGTGACTCTCACTGTCTTCCATCTGCATTAATTTGACATTTTCTAATCTGGTTGTGTCATTTCCTGCCATTGACAGGGCTGTGGTAGCCTGCTGGCATGGACACAGAGGATGAACCATAAGAGCTGCCTATTACAGGTCACCTTGAGCGAATCTTCTATTTAATGGTGACAGGCTGGCTACTTCCCTTCCAAACATGGGCTGTGGTTTGCCAGAACTCTTGGAGATGTGTGTGTATATGGGAAGGATACATTCACAACGTAGTATGTGTGCATTCACAGAACCTCGCAAAAGAGCCATGTTACCTGCTAAATTGAGCATCTAAGGCTTTCCAAGTGGATGACAGTGTGAAACACAGCAGAGATAGCACATTACATTCAATTGCAGTTTCATATTTCTTTTTAGAAACGAATTTACTGTGGACACCTGGTGTTGTGACCTGTCCAAATCATGGGTTCCTAAAATATTAAGAGCTCACACAAACATCTTTCTCTGCAGCCCCCACGAACCAAGGCTCCCAAGTCCCTTTTACACTGGTCTGAAGTGTTACAACCATCTTCCCTGAATGCCACAGAAAGTACATTGCCAAATATCAGTGGATGGCAGTGTGAAACACAGCAGAGATAGCACAGTACATTCAATTGCAGTTTCATGTTTCGTTTTAGACAAGCACAGCGCATGCACGCACGCATGCACACGCACCACCACACACACACACACACTACCACCACACACACACACACACACACACGCACACACACACCACCACACACACACACACACACCACCACCACACACACACACACACACACACACACACACACACACACACACACACACACCACAACACACACACACACAGCACAGATTGCTGGAGAGGGAAAGAGTGTACCCACTACCCATTGAGATAGAATACATGCGTTCAGATCCTCCGGAGACTACTTCACACGTGTTTAATACAGTAGACAGCAAATCATGGCATGCTTATGGCATATAGTGACATTTCTAGTGAGATGTAGCAAACATTTGCCTCTGAGCAATAGCAGCTTCATCACTGGTGAATAGCCATTTATTGGTCCCATATGGCCCCTGTTCACATCCATTAGGCACAGAGATTATCAGATGTAGATTGTAGAATGTCAGTGTTGTGTGTATTATCATACATGGGTTGACAATACAGTATGAACCTCTATAGCAGGGGTAATAAGTCCTAATTTCTGATTTCTGCTGGCTTTCCCTGGGTTGTACTCCTATGTTACTCCTCAGAAACTGATTTACTCCTCTGTTACTCCTCAGAATCTGATTTACTCCTCAGAAACGTATTTACTCCTCTGTTACTCCTCAGAAACGGATTTACCCTGTTACTCCTCAGAAACTGATTTACCCTGTTACTCTTCAGAAACTGATTTACTCCTCTGTTACTCCCCAGAAACTGATTTACTCCTCTGTTACGCCTCAGAAACGAATTTACTGTGGACACCAGGTGTTGTGACCTGTCCAAATCATGAGTTCCTAAAATATTAAGAGCTCACACAAACGCCTTTCTCTGCAGCTCCCACAAACCAGAGCTCCCAAGCCCCTTTTACACTGGTTTGAAGTGTTACAACTATTTCCCCTGAATGCCACAAAAAGTACATTGTCAAATATCAGGACAGTACCTTATCTTTCCTCAATATGCAGTGAAAAATAGTCTATAACCTCAGCAAACTTGCAGGTGCTTTCAAAAGGTCAATGTCTCTAGCTAAATAAATGTTCGGGTGGCAGATTGTGTGTTGGCACCTATGACAAACCCAATGTTTAGATGACTGTATAGACAGGAAGAGGGCACTGGCAGAAACATGGCATGGCATGGCAACTAAAATAGTGCGTTACTAGCAGAGCCCCTCCTGTTCCTGCCTGCATTACCCCCGACCCCCTGGAACGACTGTCTCAGTAGGATTCCTGTTCTCTGTCAGTCAACACAACAGAGGGAGAAACAATGAGGAAAGAGATCAGGAACTGGCTCATGACCTGCTTAACACCATGTGCTTTTCAGGGAGAGATAGGATATTATTGTGCTTTTCAGAAAACACACAAACCCACCCAACCTTCATACAATTCCATGAGCCATATAACTACACAAACACACACACACACGTTCTGAAGCCATTTGTCATTAGGACAGCTGACTTTGTTCTCAGTGATTGATAATGGAAAAGGGAATGGAAATACAGAAAACAATTACATCCTGGCATGGCTCCAGCAGCCGTCACCTGATGAGGCACTATTCATCTCCAGCCATGTTATTCTCCATCTCTCCCTGATATATTCATGATGCAGAGATATGGTCTCTGAGCATGCAGCCTGTGTGTGTGTGTGTGTAGAGATGGCATCTCGGAGCATTAAGAGTGTGGCAGTCACAAACTGAGCCACGCCGACTGAGCTTAAAGAACGCTCATCAGTTTCACATTACTTTTGTTTAAAGCCACCGAATACACCTACCTGCTGGAAATAACCAAGCCTATTTGCATTTTTATTTGATTTTAATATATTCTTCATAGGTGACGATTTCCAAATATAGAGTATATCCAGACTCAAACTTCTTCTGTTCTCGTTACTGCTCATCTCAGCAAGCAACGTAAGCAACGAACAAAGTGGATTCTGTTGAGTAGTGTGGTTTTTAATAGATCAAAGGATTAATCTGGGTCTTGTTTTATGCAATTAAGAAGATGCATTAAAGAGAACAAAGCCCTGTGGGCTGTTGATGTTTTAACTGATGGCCTACTGCTTCCACTGCTAAATAAAATCAGGATTATCATTGTGCAAACATGTCCCGTTGTTATACAGGTTCAGAGACACAGTTTATGTCTCTCCTCAACTCCTGCCAAAGGCTGTTGATATTTTCTCAACCACCAGCCTTGAGTCACAAAAACCCCACTGAAACCACTGGTAAATCTGGTCAGACAGAGAGATTTGGAAAGCGATGGTTTTTAATTTATTTCCTCCCCCTCAATTAAACTTAGTCAATTACCATTGTTTAATTACTCTATTACAATTATTTCTGCCAATTAAACCTCTAGGCTGTCTCCAACGGAGCTTCCAATCTCTATTGCTGTTATTTGCTGTCACTTCTCAGTCGAGCTAGGCTCATACAATACTTCAGATAGCTGACAGGGTGATGTACAATGCACACTCTGAAAAACACATTGTTATGCATAAAGGCAGTGTGTGAGTGAAGTATATCAAAAGTCCTAATTAAACCCTAACTAATAATGGTAAAGTCTCTACAATTCTTTGCATGTTGTATTGAAAATGTGTAAACGAAATCCTCTTGCTAATGAGATGAGGTGGTGGAATGAGTGAGTCAGTCAGTAGGAGAGGAGTATGGGCTGTGTGGTCTCCTTTCAATCAGGGGTCAGGAGGTCATCCAGCGTTCAGGAGAGGTCGTGGTAGATAATCTCTCCAGGCTTTAACATGATGGCTGAATTATAGCATGAAGCTGACACCGACTCCTCTCCAACCTGAATTTAAACTCTTTTAAATGTCTATCTGGGTTTGACTCTGAATATGGGTCTCACTTGAAATCTTAGAAGACAAATCTAATTTCTATCTAGTTGGAAAAAAGTCCTTTGGCTGTATTTGATTAATCTTTGGATATTGCACAGGGTAAGGCGATAGCATTATTATTCAACCAAGTCTCATGGGCTATATGTTCCATAGTATTACTTTCATCAGCAGGTGATAACCATTGCGGCTCTGCAATTACATTCTCTAGTCATAACACATTTTGAAAACGTAATGGCATATACATTTCTCTCTACAAACTCCTCCAAATGGGAAACATTTCATATTTTCCTCCTTATTCACATATACATTTTCCTTGTCTTTGGTCGACAGACAGGCCTAATTACTGGATGGGTCATACTTGTTGTGTTGTTAGGTGTAAGGGCAGACCGTTGAGGACAGCAGGTGCGGCATCCTGATAAGGAGTCTCTGTTCCGTAGGCTGAGTAAGACAGCCAGCCTGATGGCGGGGGACAGTGTCCTGTAGGCAATGTGAACCAACCTCCTGATAATTACATGAAGGGACATTATTCAGACTGAGACGGAAGGAGGGCCCCTGCAGGCCTTCTCATCCTGCTAATAGATATGGCTTTATCTACTCTCTCTTCAGCATCTTCATCAAGCCATCACACACATTAGGGGCCTCTGGGGCCTCACTCAATCAAAGCACAAAACGCACGACAGCCATTACTCTTGTTTAAGGCAAACATATTAATCGCTGTCACATGTAATACACTTGTGATATCTTGCATAAAGAGATACCATCTACAGTATGTTGATATAGAGATACAGCCTAGAACATACACAGGAATTTAACAGGCCAACAATGGGTCTACCAATATAGCTACATAAATCATTGTTGATTGTGCTGACTTTGCCATTGACTAACCTAAGAAGTTATTCTGAACAGTTTTTACTTGTTTGCTGTTGTTTATCTTTTCCTAGAGGGAGGAACGTGTGAGGTGATTGCGGCTCACAGATGTTGTAATAAGAACAAGATTGAGGAGCGGTCTCAGACGGTCAAGTGTTCCTGTCTACCAGGGAAGGTGGCAGGGACCACCAGGAACAGACCCTCGTGTGTCGACGGTGAGTAGAGGAGGACTACCATCCCAACCCCCATTGGTATTGCAGGCGCAAGGGAAGTGTGTGCCCTATCACTGATTGGACTCACACACACAGGTGCTGCTTATAGAACCCATATTCACCAGTTCTTGAATATTTTTTTTCAGGGTTGCATAAAAGTGATCCAATATATAACTTTGACTGTATATGATGCTTCATCCTTTCCCAATAGATCTGGGACAGCAGGTGGCCAGTAGAGATGGAGATGCCCCATCCCTTTCTTTTGATTAGCTCACTGCAGACATACGCAATTCATCAATGGCATACATTCCCTAGAGAAGTAGCAATGGTTCTTTATGTATTATGCAGTTTGTTTTGATTCGTGTCAGGTCTAAGGCAGAGTAGCCTAAGGAGTTGTTGCTTAATAGATGCACTATAACCTTGGTTCGATCCGACTCCTGGCAACAAACCACGGTAACCCTCTTTACCGTAAGGAACAGGTCAAAATGAGGTCCTCTTGGGTGTTGAATATGTATGGCTGGAAAACCACTTAGACTAGGACAGACAAGAACACTCAAACAAAACATTTACTGAAGTTGTGGCCATACTCAACTACCTAATTTTGTACTGTGGAAATGTACTGTTGCTTTATGAATTGTATGTATTGGCTTTTTGACAGATGAGGCACAATTTTACCATCTCTAGTAGAGATCCAACAGAAGACAGTAGTAACCTATGTCACTCACTATATACTGTATTTCTTCCTATGCTGTGCAGCAGAGAGAAAATGCTGCAATATTATAACAAATTTCATGCAATTCTACTCATTTTGACATGGGGTGAAGCAAAAATGTTGGCAGTTTTAAAGCTAATCTTTTGCAATTCTGCACATTTTGTCATGACTTATGCCATGTTAATGATATCTGAGTGAGAGTGACTAACAAAATCATACCGAGTCGGTATTCGGCCATAATTACTATAATTAAGTGATAACACCCGAGAAGCCAGTTTTGGAGGATATATCGGCACGGGTGTTGTTTCGTCTCGGGCCGGCAAACCGTGCCAATATATCCTCCAAACACAAGCTTCGAGGGCATTATCACTTTTATACAATGGGTTACCAACATATTCAAATGATGATTGACATATTTTCATTAAAAACGTCATTTTGATACTATTTCATCCTTCCACGAGATATAGTCCCGACACAAATCTAGGGTTTCTACCCAGGTTTTTCACGCTCAACAGTTTCCTGTGTGTATCAAGAATGGTCCACCACCCAAGTGACATCCAGTCAATTTGACACAACTGTGGGAAACATTTGGAGTCAACATGGGCCAGCATCCCTGTGGAACGCTTTCAACACCTTGTAGAGTCCATGGCCCGACAAATTGAGGCCGTTCTGAGGGCAAAAGGGGGGGGGGGGGGGGGGGGGGGGGGGTGCAACTCAATATTAGGAAGGTGTCCTTAATGTTTTGTACACTATTCTTTTTTGGGGTCACTTATGTCGCTTATGCCTGGGGCCAGCCCTGACAGTAGGCATCACTTCTCACCTGCTTGTATGCTTCTTTAGATTCTAACCATTAGGAAATGTTTCCACAATTACTGAGCAGAGTACACAGACAGAGTGAGGGAATTTTAGGTCTCTTTTTTCTGTCAGGACTGACAGGGTATTTTCCTCTGTCAGATGTTCAAGATGTGGTGGACATTTACCCTGTATTTAAGGCAATTTTCTCTTCCCAGAGCAAGAATACGGTCTGCATTAGTCACAGCTATGCCCCCTCTTTCACTTAACATGTCTAGACATCTCTCTTTCTCTTTGATTTAAAATGCATGTAAGAAATGCTTTAAATACACCTAAGGTTGCTTTAGTGCTAGTCACCAATCCATCTTCAAGTCATATACTGCTATCTCATATTGCCTCAGTTTCTACTGGGTAAGAAATACTCAGGTCACATTATGGTTTTGTTGCCTGCAGCATCCATAGTGATTGGTAAGTGGTGGTGTGAGATGGAGCCCTGCCTGGAGGAAGAAGAGTGCAAGACGCTGCCTGACAACTCAGGCTGGATGTGTTACGCTGGGAACAAGATCAAAACCACCCGGGTAAGATAACCTCTCATTACAATTTGAATCAGAGTTATATTGGAAGAGGGATAGGTACAGTCATGGGAGATTTGCACCAACAGAACAATATAGAGTTTTTTATTGACAGACAAAGGCACAAGGTTTTGACTCAAGAATATGAGCGATACTTTCTCTTTTCTTTTTTAGAACACCCAACAACCTGCAAGCAAAGGATACCTCTAACTTTAGATGGACCAACTGCAAAGGTCAGCTTTGACATGTTCCATCTTCCATGGAGCTGTTACTGTATACCATCTTATCATAAACCATCTAATAATCAAGACTAACATTATAGCTGCACTGCAATATACTGTATCGCAATATCTGAGTGCTCTCCCTTTTATTTGTTTCAGATCAATCCAAGGACCCAACAGACATTCAGTTTACCTTACAGTTATAAGTGTGAACTTTCCTGTATAGAAAGGTGTGAATTATCAAAGAAACTGCTGCTCAAGGGCACTGAGGAATGATGCAGCTGAAGGATATCAATGGGAAACCCAGTGATTTCACAATTTTGTAATTTGATGGAACACTGCATTTGGATGTACAGCACATCTGAACTGCGTCTGATATTCGTCTGAGAATCTACTGCCTCCACTGTCCCAGCTCTCCGTTCTCTGGTATCAGCAAACAGACAGACTCTGCGAGAGAGAGAGAGAGAGAGAGAGACATTTCTGGGTTACTTTGAGCAAGTACTTGCTGTGGGGACTCAGGATTCTGTATATTCCATGTTTCAGTCTCTTCATGTGAACAAGAACATTGTCTACAGTATGATGGTGGTGAAATGTAAATGATTCCAAACCCTGATCTGTTCTGTTCTTGTCCATGTGTTCCAGATTCCAGACCACAGCCAAAGGTCTAGTGTTTCTTAAACATACAATAACCTATAGGTGTAGATCATGTGAGGATGAAACTGTACATTGACTGTTAAAATGAAACATTTGGCCAATATCAAGACATGTTTTTGTTATCAAAACTGTTTTTGTATTTGAATTCCTTAGGTCATCTCTGTTGCTTCCTTTTATAGTTCAGTTATCCATCAAACGGTTGATTGTTCACCAAAAAACACAGTAGGCTTACATTGTTTGTTTTTTACTCTTTTAGATGCCTTATGTGTGTCAACTTCTTCAACAACATAAAAAATCTACCATTGCATTGTGCATAAATATTAAATTAAACTACGGTGTGTCATGTAATTAAATATCTATTTTGCATTGGCTGTTTGAAGTATCAACAAATCAGCTTATCATAACAAGTGATGATAATTGCATCCATAGTGCACAGATATCAGAAAGCACAACGATCACAATCAACTTGCTTGCTAACTGGGTTAAGTAAGTAGAGGAAATCACATGACCAGAATATCAATGTTTAATTTGTACATTCAGGGTTGAAAGTAGATTTAATTTCTTACCGCCCCGGTAGCAATGAAAAAAGTTACACTCCCTATATTTTCAATGCATTTTTCTGCAAAAGGTGGGTAAACTGTCCAGCCCCAAAAACATGTGGGTAAACAGCATTGTTTACCCTCCACTACATCACTGGTGGTAATGTTAAATAATGGTGTAATAGCCTGTAGTTTTCTTGGCATTTTGTGTTAATTATTGTGATAGATTCACGTTTTACCAGTAAGGATTACCCCCATTATTTATTTTGCCGGGACGCCATAATGGACCGTACCAATTTACTTTCACCCCTGTGTACATGTGTATTTTGTATTGGGTAGCCTACTAGACCAGTTGATTCCCTAAAACAGTAGCTACAGAACTGCAGCACTCTGGGAATTCTACCGTAACAGACTGGGGTTTTGAAGTCTTCTGCTCGCATTGTAAAGAAGAAATGAGCTTGACGAATAAGGACAGTCAATGAAAAACATATTTACTCTGAAGTCTTCCGCTCAACAAAGGATGGCCAATGAAGCATGAAGCAGATTATATAACGATTTTTCTATTACAAAGCACCAGGGAACCAAGCAGTCAGCATGCAGATGTAAAACCACCAGACACCCCGTAGGGATTTTTCTTAGTGTTGCTCTCTGGCACATGTTGTCTGGAATCTCCATATGTGCTGGTGGGTCAAACACAGCGTACAAAAACACACACAGAAATCATATCGCACCAGTGGCAGGCATGGCTAGGGACAGCACAATGTAACATGCAAGTAAATGCACTGTATCCTGAAATCTGTTCTAAAGTGTATTCCAATCTGAACAACTATTGATAAACTGATAGTGTGCATACGGTACCTGTGTAAGCACACAGCCTAAGAGAGCAAATTAATTACTAAACCGCTGTTTAATGGAGGTAGTGCTTCCTTTAAAGGCTCCCTTTACAATCATGCTGCAGATGAAACGATTAAGCTGGTGGGACTGGGCTACTGGGATTCTGTGAAAAAGATAAATAAGACAGAGGTGAACAGCAGTTGAAGGTGAAACCCCGGTATGCAGCATTGTGCCTCATGGAGGGAATCATTGGCTAAATTGAAGTACTCTGAAAAGTTATCATCTGCAATTATCTGTGGATGAGCTGTTGAAACTGAGGTCCTGACTCAGAGGTCATTAAAAATCTTGTGGCTAGAGCAGGGGTGTTAACCCCAGTGCCCTGGCCTGGATAGATTCCCAACATGGCTGCTCATCCTACCAATGGCTACTCAACCACAGCTTTCAATTGTCTCTTTCAGCTCTCCTCCCCCTCTTCCACAGAACCTGACATTCAGCCATATTCTGTTTCTAACTAAAGTTGTTTGTTTGACAGCAAAACAGATCCTCCATCACACTACCAAAGACTGTGACACTAATGATAATTTAATGTTAGCTAACTGCAGGAGATTCTGAAGAAGCACCAGCTCCATAAAATCAGATACTCTCTGGGCTGGTCCCGCGGGGCCTGATGGCTCACATTTGGGTGCAGAATGGTAACAAATATGTGACAACTGACATTGATCCGCCTTGACTTTCTGTCAGGACTTGAGTGAGGCATCATGGGACAACAGTGAGGTACCCATGGGACCCCTTCCCTGCTGGATCCCAAGGGGCCAGGGTTCTGGTCTAGAAGCACGGTTTTGACTACTCCTACAGTTTTGCTTCGGTACTGCAGTTTAACTGATGCCCACCCAAGAAAGACAATTTCCGTAGACGGCCACATAGAAAAGTCAGATTTAAACATTCCTAATAAGACACTTTAGTTATCACCTTTGTGCACAAAACATCCATTGAATTATTTAAATGATTGTCACTGAGGCCGATTTTTTTTCTCATCACTCACAGCCAAAGATATTAAAATGTTTTATTAATCCAATGTGTGTCATGGTTTTGGATGACGTGATGACGTCGTCGCTGCTCGCGCTGCTCCCTGAGTGCTAGTGTGTATGTGATGTTGCTCCGTATAAACCGGATGCAACCCGGATATAGACGGTCCATGAATCGACGTCTACGAACGTGAGTAGATTACCTTGAAACATCTTGGATGCAGTCTCCAGTTCTTATTATACCTCAGTGCTGGCTCCCCATGTGATATTCAAACTTGGTGACACTGACAGTGTTCATGCTCAACACCTGCACCAACCCATTTACACATTTTCTAAGTCAGTCAGTATCAAACTCAATATCATGATGGGTGATGTCAGATATAAAGTCAATGATTGTATCAAGAGGGAGTCAATTAATAAGTGTATACCACCACTTCAGCCACCACTACATTTAGGTGGATGTGTAATGTACAGTAGTTTATGTGGACAACTGGCTAAAAACTAAGCAGGCCACAAATAATTTACTAAACCCTAAACCTCAACTAAATCTTGTATTGAAGAATGTGGAAATTGAGCAAGTTGAGGTGACTAAATTGCTTGGAGTAACCCTGGATTGTAAACTGTCATGGTCAAAACATATTGATACAACAGTAGCTAGGATGGGGAGAAGTCTATCTATAAAGTGCTGCTCTGCATTCTTAACAGCACTATCAACAAGGCAGGTCCTACAGGCCCTTTTGTCGCACCTGGACTACTGTTCAGCCGTGTGGTAAGGGACTTAGGAAAATTGCAATTGGCTCAGAACAGGGCAGCACGGCTGGCCCTTGGATGTACACAGAGAGCTAACATTAATAAAATGCATGTCAATCTCTCCTGGCTCAAAGTGGAGGAGAGATTGACTTCATCATTACTTGTATTTGTGAGAGGTATTGACATGTTGAATGAACCGAGCTGTCTGTTTGAACTACTGACATACAGCTCGGACACCCATGCATACCCCACAAGACATGCCACCAGAGGTCTCTTCACAGTCCCCAAGTCAAGAACAGACTATGGGAGGCGCACAGTACTACATAGAGCCATGACTACATGGCACTCTATTCCACATCAAGTAACTCATGCCAGCAGTAAAATTTGATTTAAAAAACTGATAAAAATACACCTTTCGGAACGGCGGGGACTGTGAAGATGGACACATGCATACAAACACACGATAACATCCGCACTATACACACATGTACACATGGATTTTGTGTTATAGATAGGTTGTGAAATCTGTTATGAATGTATTGTAATGTTTTTGTAATGTTTTTAAAATGTATAACTGCCTTATTTTTGCTGGACTCCAGGAAGAGTAGCTGCTGCCTTGGCAGCAGCTAATGGGGATCCATAATAAATACAAATACAAATACATAGCCTACAGTAGAGTAAAGCAAACTGCTCTAGTGTTTGCCATTCTCTCCAAGTACAACAGGCAGCAGCCAGCCACCAAGATATTACCAAGTCTAATCACATCCTCTCAAACCAGGCAATGTCTCCCTGTTTCCCTGTGGGATGCAGGGATTTCAAAGTCAAGGTAATGCGGACCAAACTGGATTCTAATTCAAGTTGACATCAGGTTCCTCTCCCAGCTCCTCCAGCGTTCATCTAAATCATTCATGCTGAGAACACCAGTGCCGCCAAACCATTTGGGCTCCATCAATGATTAAAGACTTGATCAGGCAAACAAAAACAATAACACATTTACAAACAGTACCGGATTCTTATGGTTTAAAAACCCCTAGATTGTTATCTTAAAAACGTTTGTTGACATCAAATGAGTCATGTATGAATCATACTACTACAGTACATACCAGGAGATGTTGGTCGTGTTCGAGAGCATCACATCCATGATGCATTGTGGGCAAATTATGACTGACTGATCTACATTCACA